TGTATTGGAACCTTTGTCTAATAAAAAGACCTTTGAAAGAAAAAAAAACAAAAAAACATACTGCTATTAGTTTGATCAAAATATTTTTTGACATCTAAATGTAAAAAATGCATTTAAATCCTTGCTGACTTTGATGTGTAACACTGGTGATCAGAGTAGAATCTATGGTTACAGCCCAAAGACGAAGCAGCACTTTTCAGTGGAGAAGTCTACAAGAAGGTAGTTCATCAGGTTAGAATCACGAGGGACATGCTTCTAGTTCTCTACCAAGAATTCGACCCCCCGGGGGGAGACTGTCAGTATAGAGTTCTACTGTATTAGATACTGTAATGAGTTAAAAGATCACCATTTATTAATATCATTAATATTAATTCATTTAAAAGCAAGCGCTTTTTTATATAACGAGAGTCTGAAACCTTATCATCATGCCACAAAGAATAGTTGCTGTTTTTTTGCTATGGGTGGGCCTGCAGGAGTTTTGTGATCCTACATAATATCTGGTTCTAGTCCACTTTTCCAAGAAAACAAGGTAATGCAGTTAAATAACGTACCCTCTTCTGCGTGTTGATCTCTGTCAGATAGCCTTGCAAGACTTTCTCAGGGTTTGGAATTGGTGGCCAAAAATACTGCTTGACTTTCCTATAAAAATGCACAAAAGAGAGGAAACATGTCCTTAAATCTTTTTATGTCATAAAATTTAGTTTAAAAAAAATCCCCTGGTTTGGATTTTCTTATAGGTGATTAAAATTTTGAATGAGCTGTGAGAAAAATAAAATCTACCTGATGTGCAGGGCACACACGATGGTGCCGATGGTGGCTGTCATCAGTATAAACACTGGGATACACACGATGAGCAACATGCCTGAAAATGCAATGCATCAAAGTTTGAAATGTATCTGTTTGTTCCCTTACAGCAACAAAGAACATCATTGTACATAAAGATAACATTTCAAACTACTAAATGTTAAATAAACTACTTGCTTCTAGTTCTTAGAAAGGAGTAATCTACTCATCTCTACCTAGTGATATTTTTTATTTTACATTATGGTCAAGTTTGTATTTATTGAATTTTTGATCTTGTTGGAGGCTTACCTGTGTAACTGATGGAGTCACGGGGGTTTTCACCAGTGAACACATTGGACCAGTCACTCCAGAAGCCAGAGTAAATTTGCCCAGTGGGTTTAGCTCTGACCCTGACTCTGTACTGGCTGCCTGCTGGAACCTCAACACATGCTTCTGTCTTAGGGCCCTTTAACATCTCTGGACGGAAATACTGAAACAGAAAGGGAACCAAATCACATTATTATATGATTATAGTCTGTTATTTCCTTTGCATTCTTTGACAACACCTTTGAGATTTCTCTTAAAATGCACTCATGCATGTGATTTAATGGGCTCGCTGCACGGCACGCTGCGCGGCACGCTAAACTGAAAAGTTCAACGCTGGCGCCATCTGGTGGAAAGATCAAGCAGCCTTGAGCAGCCATGACACTGCTTAGACCTCATATCATTGGTCCACAAACAGAAATAATTGCCATCATGATAATTCTAAATAGTTTTGAAAGGAATCTAAAGGGCAGGAAGGAAGATATATTCAATTCAAACATGGCCCTTGGATGTCAGTAAAGACAGCACACACACATACACAGCTACTTACCTTCCATCCTTCATATTCTTTCAGCTGGTGGTCAAATTCATACTGTAGGTAATTTGACAGTGACGGAAGAGGAGCGTCCCATTTCAAGCACAACTTATCTTTCTTGAGGATTCTTTTCAGATGAGTTGGTGGGGATGTTTTGACTGCAAAGAAAAAATCTTTCATAAGACCAGTGAAAAGGAGGCCCACAAGCCTAACTGAAAGTTTCCTTCAAGAAATCCAGGCAAGCTTAAGAGCTAACAAACTTCTGCCTTTCCTCCAAACTGAAAGGTTAGGTGAGGTAAACCAAGTCTGAACATGTTCACAACTGACCAGAGGACTGTTGTATATATTAATCACTTATATGACTGAAAGATCTGAGTAAATGTATGAG